TACGACAAAGGATCTGTACAACATTATTTGTAACTGGGTGTGACAGCCGGAGAATCAGTAGTTGTGTAACAGTATGTGTGAAAGACGCTCGAATAAACGACACCGAAGTGGTACGCATTAGAATTCACAACTCAAGATAACAACATTTCATAACGGATTTGAACTCCTAATGTATGGTGGCGTTCCTAGCGGCAATGGAAGCTAAATAGCGGAGGTTGGTTAACCACGTGACAGCTTTCAGCAACGCCTGACCTTCTTCGGACGCATCATCCGCCATTGCTGTTCAAATTAAGTTAATGCGCTCAATAGCGACGCGCACAACCTTCACCAAGGCCCAGGATCCGCGTAATTGCGGGTGGCTGGCTAAGGGCCGGCGGCTCCGCACATTGTAAAAGATTATCGCTTCGGGCTGAGCTAACATCAGCTGGGTTAGCTCCTCGTGCTCCTTCAGCCTCCGGTCGAAGTAAGCTGTGAGTGCTGGCGAAATAACTCGCGCTCCTCAGCTAGCTGCTGTTCGAAGAGGGCCCGCATTTCGGGAGTGAGCACTAATCTTTCTGCGCCCGCAGCGCCAATTTCCATAGCCGACATTCGATTCTAGTATTGCTAAGAAAAGACGGTGCAACACATAACTAGAGGACACTGTCCCAGCAGCGGGACACACCTCTTGGTAATAGTCAAAACAACGGCAGTTAAAGAACCAATGCGCCTGTGGGACCCAAGTAGGAGCTCGGCGTCCCTTGCCGTACTGCGGTCCGGCACATGCATGCATGCATGCGCCCTACTTCCACGCACCACGGCAGTTCCTTCGCAATAACTTGCCTATCTCTACACTCATACTTCGCTTCGAGAAGTCGAAGCATATGCGTTAGGCGGTTTACTCGCCCTACACCATATGTACGACCGCAGCGACAATGCATCAATGCGACAGGTTGCAGCGAGTATAGCAAAAGGAAAGGGAAAGTGCTGCTACCAGAGTTGTAGAAATGGCGCCGTTGTCCGCCAAAACCGCTCCCAAACCCAAACCCCGTGATGAATTTGATGTACAACAGGCAAACCCAGAGCAGGAACACCTACGGATTGTGAGGGCTGTGGCTTGAAACCGGTTGGACCCGCAGTATTTGATTTAACGCTAGCCAACTGGGGAGATGACTGAGAAATCGCCCAGCTTGCTCTGTCCACTGCCTACCCGACGCCTATCCTCGCCGACCAAGTCCAATCCTTTCCCTGAGCAGCAGGCCCGGGTGGGTTCCGGAGCTTCGTTGCTTGTTGTTTGTAGATTAGTCTAACAGCAGGTCAGTGCTCCTTGCACGGGATGTCTTACAAAGCCAACCAGCACATACGACAGCCGCCGGAAGATCCACACCAGAGGAAAAGCCCTAGCCAGCGAAACCTGCGAAGTGTCGTTATGACGACTCCGCGGGTGGCCGAACGAATAGTTCTGGTACCAGAACTATATTCCCGGTCCGACGCAGAGTATTACGGACGAGGCCGGGCTGCTGAATTTAAGTGCCCGGCAGCAGGCCACGCCGCAACGAAATAAATGCTTGTGTGGAACTAACTACAGCGATATAAGCCTTGTTATCTGCTTGTTCCCTATTAGGTACGTGGTCATTTGTTTTGAGATTGATGGAAGTGGCGGACCTCTACGGTGCAGCGGGTGGCCATGGGTTCAGTAATGGGGGCGAAGGGAGGTGTACTGCTCACGGCCTTCCAAAGGAGCCACCAGGGGATCGCCCGTTCCCCCACTGGGGCAGGTGGTTGCCTTCGCCACCCTGGCGGCGCTTGAATATGTGTTACATATCTATGTTACATGGTCGTGGGGGTGCGTAACCAATACACACCTGCAAATCGCTTGGATGTAACCGGTAGAGGATGTGCGTCATCGCACCAGAGTGTCTCAGATTGAGCATTACCACGCGTGCGACTTGTGGGAATCGGTTCCGAGGTTGCCATCAAGGATTTATGGGCACGTCTAGCCTCATCGTCTGTATCCCTAGGCATCCCTCCACGGAACTGGGTGCCTCGGTGCTCGGTGCCTTCCACCACCATCATTTCGCACATTGTGTTCGGTGTAGCTCGAAATGGGACGTTGGTTAGATATGCATGAAATCAAAGCACTTCTCCAACTTAAGGATAAATCGTCCTAACAAACTACAATGGTTGTGCTTCAGGCGTCTCTGCTCTCTTGGATTCACACTTGTTGTTTCAAAAATTGACAGACAGCATGCAACAGACATTCCGCATGCCTACTTCCGATTTACTTGTTAGCTTTAAGTGTCCTCTCAATATATTCTTTTTCCTTATTCTTTTGTTTTCTTCGGATGCCTTTGTTGTAAGAAGCACTTAAAAAGTACAGCTGCTGAACTTCCGCAAAGAACCTAATGGACAAAATGCCAAGTAGAAGAGTAGATTACGAAAATAAATTGATTTCACGAGTGTTTTTTGCATGGTATACTTTCCATAGATCCTCGACAGGGCAGAGTGCCGTTTCGGCAGCCGTACGCTAATGCAATCGGTTAAAGGCAGGCAGGAAAATAGGATGTGGACGGACAACCGAGTGTAAAAGGGAAGGTACGAAGGGCAACAGATGAGCTTTTAGGTAAATGGAGAAACAAACGGAGAGCTTCTCACGAATGAGAATACGAAAGGACAGAGTAAGGCTGACTAATATAGAACGAAGGAGAGGCTACGGCACATGCGTGTACGTAAACGCTAAAAACAATAATAACTTCGTCTTCTTGCAGGAAATATGTTATCCTTTAATTCCTACATATTTACTTTCTTCTCCCAATTGCTTAAACTCTTATCACTTTCTTAAACCTGCTGACATTAGCCAGGAAACGGACCTGAAAGGAAGCGAAGCTACCCGTACATAGCCCCAATCCTACCTTGCCCACACTTCAATGGTTGCCAGGCCTAGAGGCCTGGCTCCCATAGCACTATATGGGCTCTTTTTCGGAGGGCTCTGTTTGCTGGTTTACAACAATGGCGTTGACGCTTCTGCAGCAGCGGCAGCAGGAGGGCAGCAGCGGACATTGCTAGGCACTTCTGCAACGAGGCAGGTTCTCAAGCTTTACCGGCCGCCCAGGTCGCCAGAGGCCCCAAGCACGCCCGGCGCACCTGCTGACGCACCCCCAACACCGGCAGCTACACTTGAGGGTGCGTAAGGCCAGGTCACTTGCGGTAAAATCAGTTCGCCATCATCAGCTGCAGAAGCAGGCATTCAGCCCGCAAAAGCTCGCCTGCCATAACACGCTCTATCTAAGCCTACCCCAGCTACCTGTCCATGGCGTCCGTCCATTCCCCTTCCTTTGATTGGCATGTATACGCGGATGACGGCACAACGGACTGCCATCGTTTTCATTTAAATTACAGTAAACTTTAACTGTATTTTTTGTCATTGCATGTTTGTCGGCTCAGGAAATATTAATGCCTTGTTATTGATATCGTAAACACTTCACACGAACACTGCGCGCTGCTGCTCATGCTGTTGCCTTTATGTATGTGACGGTAAAAGTAAAAGTAGCGACTAGCAGCCTGATTACATTTTCGTATTTACGGGTGAATGATAACGTCTGAAAAGAGTAAGACGCCTTGGCATGCGTAATCAAATAGGCAGCTGCAGGCGCAATAATCCGCTTTCGTTGCGGCAGCAGCCGAAATGCCGGCAGCACCAGCACCTGCACCTGCATCTCTTATGTACATACCCAATGACTTTTTTCTTGTGTTTCTGGTACTGATGTCCGCGCTCATTTTCGTTGTCTTTTACGGCATAACAGGTAAGCCTGACATTAAGCGGTCTATAGACATTTTTCCACTTACAGACGCGCACATGTTATCAGAAGTAAGGTACTACATATCTTAATAATAACGTTCTCTGAACCCGCATCCACACAGGTTATATCAAAGTGCAGATGGGAGATGACGTAAATGGCAGAGACCTTATGTACGTCTTTTTGCAGAAAAGCGACGAGAGTTTGACGGAACTGCTAATGGATAAAGAGGAGGCCTTTCAGCACGTCAACCAACGCGTCCGTGTCAGCATCCTGCCGGATAATGATTTGGGTTCGTCTGACAAGAACTCTGGTTCGGAGGCGACTGCAGCAGCAGGCGACTTCACGCAGCAGCTGTCCCAAGCCAACAACCGTCGCCGGTTATTACAACGCTCCTCAGCAGTCCGCGCCAAGGTTGTTGAGGTTTTGAGCTCACCAACAGATAGTGCCGACCTCCAAGATGGCGCCAAGGACTTTCCAGTCGATGGCCGCCAACCTATCATAAACGTCACCGGCGTTGTCTTCCTTCTTAGCTTCTGTGGGCTACGAAACATGTATGATGTCAACTCGTTCCGAAAAATCTGGGTCAACGAGCCAGGCACTCCGGCCGATACATTCACGATGCAGAACTATATGAGCTATTGTTCACAAGGCATGACGCAGATGTCTGTCGCCTCACAGAATATATTTGAGGTTGAAGTAAGTTGCTGAATAACGCACGCACGCACACACGCGCGCTGCTAATAAGCGAGCCATGAATGAAAGCAGCAGCGTATGTAAGGAGGTGCAGTAGAGCTGTAGATGTCTGTACGTCACAGATATCGGCTATAAATACGTCTAAGGCGCGGGCTCTGCCAGCATCTTTTTAAGAGCGAGGTGACCTTATATTTCAGCAGCTAGCTACTATAGCCACTGCAGAGGGGATGGGATGGAGTGTAGTAGAGGCCGACGGGGACTGAGAAGAATGACGGGAAAAGGGGGGAACCTCAGTAAAACTTGTATTGCCTATAGTTCGATCGTGTTGTAGTATGTTAGATAGGGACGCCCGTCTCTACCTATAACATATACACTAAGGACAGGATCGATCTATAGACGATATAATATATATCGATAGAGACAGATATATAAATGTATGCAGATAGATAGATAGATCCCACTTTATTGACTGCTT